AAACCACGGGCAACATCCAGAAACACCAGGATACAGAAGGCAGACCAACCTTAGCTATTCCTACTGAAAAACAAAGCCTCTTTAGAATTACTCAATATTAAAAAAAATGCACTGACAATGTAATATATATATATATATATCTATGTGTGTGTGTATATATATATATTATTTCCCATTTTTCTTTCTGCTTTTCCTGAACCATGCTGCCTGTACTGTAGCTTTCCTGGTTCATGGTAGCCTCCTTGCAGAAATTCCATACTGCCAAGCCTGCACTGTGCTTTGTACCTAGACTACCAAAAAAACCTTCTTAGCATATAATATGATTAAGGCATGCTCTAGCTAATAACACAGCCCACAGCATTCCATCTGCCTACTTTGCATTCTGTGTCCAAATTACCCAGTACACAAATTTTGCCAGGGACAAAGGGTTAGCTGAACACCAGCCTTGAATTATATTGATAATGAACAACTTGGTCCACCTTTATGAATTCATATTAATTATACCACTAAACTCAAGTCTCCAGCTACTGTCCCCAGGCTTAGGAGAGTGTGAGAAGTGGACCCCTGTTTCACAGCAGAGGCCGTCTGTAAGTGAGACATGCCTTCTATTATGCCTCATCTAGGCAGAAAAAGGCAAAAAACCAAAAAAAGTTGAAGGGTTAAACAAGGGTGCTGCTGCTTGATCAGTAAATTATTTGGCTTTGTGTTGCTAGAGTATTGTTCAAAGACAGTCAAAATGCATTTTTTTACCATTGTCCCACTGCTCAGTGTGAAGGCCAGATAGCTTTCTCAACAGATTAGTGTTGCATACATTACACAAAAATAATCAAGATAAAGGGGATGTTTAAAGCAGGAAACCAAATCAAAAGTGAATCAAGCAGGCTTATTGGCAAGAATGAAAATATATCCCAGCCTTGCAGAAAGAGTCAGGTTCTGACCTCCTGCAGGTGCATGTCTTCCTTGGTGAAATTCTGAAGTCTGAGTGAAATCAAGACCAGAGAAAGGCCTCATGTTTGCAAAGAGCTTCCACCTGTTTAGTTCCTCTGCTGCATGAGGCCAGCCTGAATGGCTTTCACCAAACTGGAACACAGAGTGGCAGTGTGTTTGGCTGGGTGTATGAGGAGTGTGAGTAGGTGCAGGAGTGCACATGACAAAACATTCAACTGGTACGAGGATGGCTAAGGTGAGGTACTGCACATGGGATCCTATACTTGTGAATGGGGATAAAAGGGGGTGCCCTTTATTTACACTGGAAAATTGGATGCACAAGTTATACCATACCTCATGGATGATGTATGTTGCCATTTCTTTTGCATTACTACAGCTGCTGAGGACTTTGCCATGCTTAGAATATAAAGGAGTATATTAAGCACAAAATGTCAATGTTGCGTCTGTGTAGCTGCTACTTCTACAGTATGTTTAGTGTTTGGTAGTGTCCATGTCACAAATGCAAAGAGAAAATTGTTACTTTGCCAGTTTTTCAGGGCTTGCATGTTCTAGTAGAGTAAATACAGGTAAAAATATAAGAAGGGCCTTTTCAGATAATACGCAAATGTTTGGATTCCATTCCATATTCTCTGGGCCAAAAGACAGTTGGTGTAATCCTGACAGCATCAGTACAGGTCACACTACATAAACAGCTGGCTGTCCAGACTTTTCCATAGCTTCTGTGTATTGCCTTAAGAGGATGTGTTCATTCCTGTAGCCATTTCCCAACGTCTCACTGCCACTAAGCCACAAGCCAGGGCATTAGCTTTTAAGAACATGAGTGTTCTGTATTTCTTTTATGTTATATTCTGTATCAGTATTTACCAAGCAATGCCTAAGTCGTGGGGATAGCTGAAAAAATACTATAGTGATTTAACCCTGTGGTCCTTGGGCTTCTCCTCTGTCTGGGAGGAACTCTGCCAGCAGCTGCAGATCCAAGTAATCTTGTGAATCACATAATAAGGGAGACTTGAGGAAGGGACCTGTGTCCAAAAGAGGGATGGTCTTATATGCAGCAGGCTGGAAATTCCTCAAAGATAGCATGAACTGAGGCATTTGTGTCTTTTTTCTTAATTTCAAGCAGGCAACTGAGTATAAATTACATCATTTATGAATATGGAATTTTAACTAAGTTTGTTAAATGTCAAATGTATTTTTAAATCTAGCAAATTACGGAACCCTTGCATGTGTTTACCACTGTGCCCTGCTGGATCAGGCTGGTTCCCACTAGAGAATTAGTAGCTGCAGGTTTTTGACCACCAGATACTGAATGATCTGCCTTCTGTTAGATGAGTCTCTTCCTACGTACAAACTAAATACTATTGCCCACTGCCCACAAGGTGATGTATTCTAAAAAAGGCATTTATTTTAGTTCTAAGTTCTGCTTTTTAGAATATAGAGACATACCAAATGAGAAGTTCCCACAGTTTGACCATTAAATTTCAGGAGAGCTGACAACTGCCCTGCTATGTAAAAGTGCCCGGGGAAGAGCTATTCTGACAGTGGACCAGAAAAGCAAATAACATACACATTTTGCTGTAAGTACAGCAAGTTGTCCTACAGATTCATGAATATAAACATAGCACATGCTTAAACATACATGCCTTTCTGAATGGAAACCTCAATGACTTCCTTTTCTGGAGCTGGCATCATTGACTTTCACAGTACTTAAAAAAAGAAAGGTGACAGAATGTGTTCCTTGGGTTTGCCCTTGTTGTTACCCTTCTCTGCCCAGATTTCCTGCCTCAAAACTGTTTGAGTCCCAAAGCAAGGGACTGTTTGAGCAGCAAGGGGGGAACACTGTGGCAAAGACCACTGGACATGACACAGGAATTCCTGCAGCAGGGAGAGTCCCTCTGAGCAGAGCTGGCTGGGAAGGGTCAGCCTTCAGTCCACATCCAGCTGAGATCTTGGCATGGAACTTTCTCATTTCTCATTACCCGTGTGGTAACTGATAAAACATTGTATCAGCAACATTTCATTCAGATTTTGGGGTAAACACATAAAGGTTCAGAAAAGTGTAATTTTCTTCAGCATACCAAATGTTTCATAAAGCCAGAGCAGAGGAATCAATTCCAATCTTAAGTTTTGTTACTGGTATCCAGACAAGTCATTACCTTGCAAATTATTTATTACTCTGTGGCTCCAAAAATAAACTCTCCCAAGAATCCAAAACAAGAAAGTAAACTTACTACACTCATGGCTAGTCTCATTACCAGGCTTATGCACATGACAACTTTGTTTCATATAAATGGTATGTATAATTTTATTAGAAAGAAATATTATTTTGATGTTAAGACATCAAATTATAAGCAGAAGGATAATAAAAATTGTTATTTTATTAATATTAGAAATATATTTAATGGGAACATTTGCAAGAGTGTGTAGTGATAAGAAAATTCTGATTGTTAATGGGTTTGACAAAATCATGAATCTTGAAAAATGTTTTCTTTTCAATATGTGCCAAGTACATAAAGGTTTAGTCTTTCTTGCAAAGCTGTAGTTCTGACACACAATAATTCCTATATAGTCAGGCTGAATAAGAAAAGGAGAGGAAAATTGATTGTAAATGGAATTAGGAGGGTGCCTGGAGTTGCTGTTAGCATCACAGCTTGCCTAGCCTTCTGCCTAGAAGTATTTCAGAGTTAATGTACCAAGTCCCAGAGCAGCAACAACGGGTGGGGGTGGGGTCCAATTCTCTGTTAATTTCACACTTTAAAAAATCCATATGTTTGTTCCTTTTACACATTCCAATAACTATACTGTTCACTTTATTTATATATAAAATACTAAAGTGTGTATAAGATGACTGTGATTTTATGATGTATTCATGATAACAAAGATATTTTTTCTTACACTGTTGGTAGCTGCTTTTTATTACACATTGCCCTTTCTCTGAAACACAGATCCCACTCCACTGCCAGGATCCCCGATATGCGGGAAAAGGTGTAAACAAAGTTAAATGAACAAGGGGGGTGGGGGGGTGGGGAGAAAAAAATGAGAAAAGTTAGAACAGTCATAGTAAAAACTGGCTTCGGTTGGACTGAGGATCCTGCTGGTAGTATTGTTCCGTGACTGTATGAGGATAACGGAACTGTCAAGAACTCACGGAAAGCAGGATCTCAGTCACTTGATGTGCGCATTTGGGGAAAGCCCGATGGAAGTCGTATGACGTGATGCAGTCCTTTTCCTTTTAATCAGTTGTAGTTTGGTGTATTAAAGCCAGACATTTTAAAATCTGCTTTTTAAATTAACTTAAACACGATAGTTTTAAAAAGAATTCACAGAGGACCGCCGGGACCCTGGATCGCCGCGGCGCTGCTCCTTCGCACCCGCAAGCATCTCCCCGCTCCGGTTCCCTATCCCGGCTCCCTGTCCCGGCTCCCTGTCCCTGCTCCCTGTCCCGGTCCCTGTCCCGGCTCCCTGTCCCGGCTCCCTGTCCCGGTTCCCTGTCCCGCTTCCCTGTCCCGGCTCCCCGTCCCGGTTCCCTGTCCCGGTCCGCGGCTGCAAAGGCAGTGCCAGCAGGGCGAGGGAGGTGATCGTGTCCCTCTGCTCAGCATGGAGCGCTGTGCCCAGTTCTGGGCTCCGGGAGCGGGTCCAGTGGAGGGTGGCAAAAGGAATTAAATTGCTGGAGCGTCTCTTATGAGAAAAGGCTGAGCGAGCTGGGCATGTTCGGCCTCCGGAGGAGACTGAGAGGAGACCTCATCCACGTCTGTCAGCGTCTCAGGGAGGGGTCAGGGGATGCACCAGGCTCCGAGCCGCACACACGAGACAACGCGCCGAAACTGGTGCACAGGAAGTCCCCCTTGGGCGGGATGCGGCTGTCGCTGGCGGCCGCCATCTCGCATGGCCGCGTGTACCGCCGGCTGGGGCTCAGCCCGCGGTCGCGTCTGGACCTGCTGCGGAACCTGGTGACAGCGCTGGTGCGCCATGAGCGCATCGAGACGCCCTGGGCGCGGGCCGACGAGATGCGCGGCTACGCCGAGCGGGTGAGCGCCGAGCCGGGCGAGCTGGGCATGTTCGGCCTCCGGAGGAGACTGAGAGGAGACCTCATCCACGTCTGTCAGCGTCTCAGGGAGGGGTCAGGGGATGCACCAGGCTCCGAGCCGCACACACGAGACAACGCGCCGAAACTGGTGCACAGGAAGTCCCCCTTGAGCAGGAGGAAGAATTTCTTCACTCGTTCGGGTGACCGAGGACGGGAAGAGATTTCCCGGAGAGGCAGCGGAGTCTCCCTTACCCGAGATACTCAAGAACGGCATGGACGCGTTCCTGTGCCGTGCGCTCCAGGACAGCCCTGTTCGAGCCCGGCGGCTGGAGCGGGTGTCCCGCCGCGGAGCCCCTCCAGGGTGACCCGTTCCGGCCGTGACTACAGTTCCCGGCGCGCTGCGCGGCGCCCGGGCGCTGCCGGGAGGCGGCGGCGGCGGCGGCCGGGCGGGCGGTCGGTGGAGCGGGCCGACGAGATGCGCGGCTACGCCGAGCGGGTGAGCGCCGAGCCGGGCCGGGCCGGGCCGGGGGGCGGCCGAGCCTCCCTGACCCACCGCCTCCTTCCTCACCCGCCGCCTCCTTCCTGACTCGCCGCCTCCTTCCTCCCCGCAGCTCATCGACTACGCCAAGCGGGGGGACAAGGACGAGCGCGCCATGCGCATGGCGGATTTCTGGCTGACCGTAAGTACCCCCCAGCCCCTTCCAGCTGATCCCAAGTTCCGTCCCGGCCCGCCGCGGCGCCGGGGCTGAGCGTGCCGCCCCGCAGGAGAAGGACCTCATCCACAAGCTGTTCAAGGTGCTGGCGCCCCGCTTCCAGCCGCACCCCGGCAGCTACACGCGGCTGCTGCAGATCCCCAACCGGGACGGGCTGGACCGCGCGAAGATGGCGGTGATCGAGCTGAAGGGGAACCCGCTGCCGCCGCTCGTCCGCCCGCGCCGCGACTCCGACAAGACGCTGCTGAACCAGCTGCTCAAGGGCTACCGGCAGGACGCGCAGCGGGCGCCCCGCGGCACCCCCGTCTAGAGCCGCGCTGCCCCAGGGAGGGGAAGGTGTGGGAGGAGGGCTGGAGGGTGATGGAAGTTGCCTCGGTGAGGGCTTGTGAGTTTGTTGGCTGCTTGCAGTGGTTTGGAGACTCGGCAGGAGAAGGAGATCCAGCTAGGAGCCCTGATGATTGATGTTTTCTGTGTAAATAAACTTTGTTCGGAAAGTCCGTTTGCTTGTGTTTGAGCTGTGTTTGGTGAAGTATTTAGGGTAGAAATGACCTCTGAAGCTATCAAATCCAGCCTATGATCAAACACCACCATGTCAGCCAGACCATGGCACTAAGTGCCATATCCAGTCTTAATTTTAACACCTCCAGGTGTGACTGGGACCATGACTCCATCACATCCTGGGCAGCTCATTTGTGTCTATTCACCCTTTCTGTGAAGAAATTCTTAATGTCCTACATAAACCTCCCCAGCATAATAATTCCTGTGCTTGTAAGTTAATAGTTTTTTCCAGAAAAATGGGTTTGCCAACGTGTGTTCTAGGAGCCAGTGTTCAGCATTTCAGGATGGGAAGTTTGGTGAGAAATAAGATACTTCTGCTGTTTAAAAATCACCGAATGCAAATAGGATGGTAAGACTGAGCTAAGTACTATAAAGAGACAACAAAAGAAACTTGTCTTATGAGGTGGTAACAGGCATGTGTCATAGTAATCTAGCAAGAGCTTGACAGACCCCAGCTTCAGGGCAGAATTGCAGTAGACATCTCTATTACTCTATTGGAACAAAAAGGGGGAGTATCAGAACTTTTTCAGAGTGATACTGAGCAATAAGAATCTTAATTTGTTAGCTTTGTCTTTAATTTCAGGCACAGCTAGTACTTGAAAGTCCTAGCTGTAAGTTTGAAGGGGGGGAAAAAAACCCAAAACAAAACCAACCCAAATGTAAAATCACAGGATGGAATACCCAGTTGGAAAGGACTTCAAGAACACCTGGCCCAGCCTTTCGTGGCAAAACACAGTGGAACCAGTGTGGCTTCCTAAACTTTGTTGCATTTCTTCCTCCCAAGTTCTACAAACAAGGTATTTAAACAAGTGGCCCTGTATAGCAAGCTAATTGTATGGAAGGACAAAGAACCCCCATTATATATTCTCTCTTTGAGACACTTATCTCACACAGTACTAGTTCTGTTTTAATAAACGCTAGTGAGAAATTAAAGATAGGTGGTACTGCTTAAGGGAGAAGAAAAAACAGTCAAACTGCTATGACGTCAGTCAGACAGACTTTAATGTTTCTAATAACCTTGAAGTTGTTCTCTTTGCAGCTGACCATATTGAAATAGATGTTTTCTGAACCAAACTGCTGCACAACTTCCACATTATTAAAAGTCCATGCTGAGGCTTTAACAAAATAACCCAGCCTTTCGTGGCAAAACACAGTGGAACCAGTGTGGCTTCCTAAACTTTGTTGCATTTCTTCCTCCCAAGTTCTACAAACAAGGTATTTAAACAAGTGGCCCTGTATAGCAAGCTAATTGTATGGAAGGACAAAGAACCCCCATTATATATTCTCTCTTTGAGACACTTATCTCACACAGTACCAGTTCTGTTTTAATAAACGCCAGTGAGAAATTAAAGATAGGTGGTACTGCTTAAGGGAGAAGAAAAAACAGTCAAACTGCTATGACGTCAGTCAGATAGACTTTAATCTTTATGTTTCTAATAACCTTGAAGTTGTTCTCTTTGCAGCTGACCATATTGAAATAGATGTTTTCTGAACCAAACTGCTGCACAACTTCCACATTATTAAAAGTCCATGCTGAGGCTTTAACAAAATAAAAAAATTCCTTTAAAAAACATTTGATGAGGGAAAACAAGTCACACTCCCAACTGCTTGACCTTAAGTGATCTTGAGTTTACTAAAGTGCAAAAAAGCTTGATGCTTCTAAGCTAAATTGGGGAAAAATTCTTGATACATGTTTGTTGGGGTTTTTTTATGTACAAATGCTTTTTTTGCAGTATCTGTATGAACATTAGGGCAGCTAACAAAGCATGCATCATCTCACAAACACAGTGTGTAGTCCTTCTCAATTCAGTGCTACTATATGTCCCTGAACATTTTGTAAGATTGTGGAAGCTTCTGCCATGAGGGTGTTTGTCCTGCCAGGCAGTCAGGTGGGTCAGGCTTTCAGCTGCCTGTAGAGGAAAACAAAGGGGAAATTCACAGTTAATACGGGAAATCTGTCCTCATTATTCCCTTGTATCCTGATTGCCAGATCAGGCTGCTTCCATCATCCTTAAAACCACACACAGGTCCCAGAGTTCACGTCTTTTTCTTGTCCTGTCCTCCCACCTCTGGAACCTGGATGCCTACCTGACTGCAGCTGTGAGACTCTGGTACCAGTCATTGATCTCTTGTTGGTTGCTGGACATCAACAGCAGTGTCTTGTGTGGAAAGGAAAGCTGAAACACAAGCAGGATCTGTGGCATTCCTTGCCAAGACAGCAACTCCAGTAAAAGGAAAATCATCACCACTGAATTCAGTCCCTGCATGCTGATTTTTACCCCTTATTTTCCCCCCATAGAAAAATTTAGTCTTAATATTGAGTGAAGCCAGAGACTGCACAGTACAGAACAAGTGTCAGTCTTGTCCACTGTTTCCAGTCAGTTGACAGCTCATTCTGACCTGTTTGAAGGTAAGCAATTAGAATTCTCAGCAGCTCATCCAGTTTTCTACCATATTCAATGTTCCTAGGGGTCCTTCCACTATCATCATCTACAGGTCACAGCTTGCTCAAAAAGTTCTTTGTCATAACTCACAAGAAAAGAGCTAAGAGCCCCAGGTGCAGCCTTGGAAGAGCTGACCTTGAAACCCCTACTGAAGACTCTGGTCCCTGTCAATCTGCAGCCCTCAGGGAGTTAGATGCCATCATCTGTTGTAATAACATCCAGGTCTTTTTCATTCTCTGTTTTTCTATGTATTCAGTCTGTAATCAGTGTAATTCATTGTCACGCAAGTGTGGGGCTGCCCCCAAACTTGTAGCTCTGATGAGGGCATGTCAGAGTGCTGGTGGAGCCTCCTCACCTGAGCTACGTGAAGCAACCAGCAGCCTGTAACCCCAGAGAGTGCAGGAGGCTCCACGCCATGAAAGGAAAAGTACCTGCATCACTCAAGAAGGGAAGGGTTGCCCTAACTCAGACTTGCTCACTGCATTTTGTCACCACTGTCATCATCTCTCGGTCCCTCTGCTGCTGAGACAGCTGGAGACAGGCTTACAGGGCTGACTCCACTGGCACTTCTGCCTGGCACAGGTGGGAAGACTTACACTGAGGAGCCCTCCCTGGCTCCACGTGTGGCCGAACACTTTATCCACTGAGCACTGGTGGAGCGGGTAGACAGCCTGGCAGCACAGCTTGTTGGAGTTCAGCAGGTGCAGGGGGTGGCAGGGCTTCGCTGCGATGAGGATGTCAGAGAACAGGAAGAACATCCTGCGCTTCAGCTCTTCTCCCTTTGCAGGCACCACCAAGAGCCAGCCTTCCCGGATATACCAGCGCCCTGGGCATGCCGGGGAAACAGAGACAGCTATGAGATCTGAGGGAGGGCAGGCAGGAATAAAAAGTAAAGGATGTAACGAGACAAACAGGAATACAGGCTGAGCCACCCTTGTACGTTTCTGTGTTCCACATCAATTCCAGCCACTAGAAGGCACTGGATGTCAGCTGGATCCAGCTCACCAGTGCAGATAGCACCCGTGCAGAAGCAGAAACTAGCCCAAAACGTTTATTGTATGAGGAGCAGCTGAAGTTGTTAATATCTGCTGTTTTAACTAAGAGTATATTATCATATGCAAGTCTGTTTAAAGTGATCAGAACAAAAACACGCTTCGAGAACAGCATGCATACCTTTGAATTGACATAAGCCTTCAGAAAACACATCATGAACTATCTCAAATTGTGTTGCCCAGTTGTTTGTCATTAGTGCTATAACAGAAACTAGCTTCAGGTTTGAAAACTTATAATTTTTTCCTTGTTTTGTAGGTGTGTGATAATAAAATAATAAGCTCAAAAAACCTCCCCAAAACAAAACAAAACCGCATTTCACAGGTCATCTAACTATATACAGACCTACAGTAGCCAAGAGAATACAGACTGCAGATTACTATTCTAAAGAGAAGGCATGAAAGGAGATAGAAAATGAGGAAGGTCTGAATAAGCAACCTTATCAACCTCTCTTGCAGAACAGAGCCCAGTGTCATCCACCTGTGAAATTAATTGTGATAAAACAAGAGGAAAAGAAAGCAGGAGGAAAGTAATTAAAACAATTTGATAAGCCTAGCTGTAAGCAGAAATTAAAAAATAATAATGAAATAAAATAAAGCAGGACTTCTTACTAAGATTATTGTGGAAGATAGCCATCAACTCATGGGAATTAGGAGTACACCTTCTAGTAAGATTATTTACAAAACTGTAAATCCATAACAAAGTATTGCCACCTGATCTTGTTTAGGAAACCTGTGCCAGGGAATTTCAGCCACTCTTTCATGCCTTAGCTTCTTCATGAGCTATAAATATCTTTTAGAATAAAAATACAGTGTTGTGTTTGTTGTGGATTGTGTCTTATTAGAATGCTACAGTCACAAAACAAAGAAGTGAATTAATTCCTGCTTAGCTTATTCCGCTGGAACCACTCCTCTTACCTGAACAAGAAACTGAGGAAGAGAAAGGACAGGTGCAGGAATCAATCCAGGTTCAAAAAAAACAAATGGGAGGAAGGTGTCAGAAGCATGGGGCTGGCCTGGGAGCTGTTTTCCTCAGACTATGCTCTGATCAGACTCCCAGGCATACAATCTGATCCAGACTGTACTGAAAGTCTTGGAATATAGATCCATGTCCAGGATTCCCAGGTGTACAAGTTTTAGGAAATTGTTGTTATAGAAGGGCAAGAAAATATCCCAGGGGAAGCTCTGGATAGCAGAACATTGTGCTCAGTTAAGGAGGCAGTTCTGGCTGATAGAGTATTTGTCCTGAATGTGGAAGGCAGCAAGAAAAGCAGGGTCTCTCACTGGGAGCAGAACATCTCAGAGACATTGGCAAATGTGAGATACCCATCTCCAACACTGCCCCTTTGCTCTGAATCTACAGCATTTTGTTTTCTCTCCTGCTCCTTCCTGGCAACAGGACACAATCTTAACTGTCCTGCAAAAGCTATTTTGTTTCTGGAAAGCTGGCCCAAAACTAGCAAGCCCCAGCTGCCTCTTACATTTGTGCTTCTCATATCCAATGATAACTATGTAACTCCAGCCAGTGGAAAACATGACTACAAGAATTCTCTGTCCTAGATGATGGAAATGCCTTTACTGACCCTCAACGCTCATCCTCCTACGTCTCAGATTTTTCAGAGCCCAAAATAATCAGTGGACAAAACACTTTCAAACGCCTGCCATTTCTGGTCTAGTTACACTGTTTGGGGGTATTTGTTTGTTTTCATGGTTTTAGCTTATTAGTTCTAACATTAATCAGGATAACTGATTTACCTTTTTACTTACACACTACCCCAAGTGTGCCCAGGCACCCCCACACACGCTTCTGCTCAGTATAAGCAGAGCACACTTGTGTGAGCTCCCTTTCACCTATCAGCACAAAAATATTCTAAGGACAGGAAAGAGAATTGTAAATGAATCTGTCCATTGACTGAGCATCTTTGAGAATGACCTCTGATAAGTAGCCTTTGTTCTACCTATGCTGGTTTCGCTAGGCTAGAGTTATTTTTTCCCATAGTGGCTGGTTTGGATTTGCACTAAAAACACCACTGACAGCACAGGGATCTCTTGTTTATTTCTGTGCAGGCAGTGCTCAGCATCAAGGTCTTTTCTGCTCCTCAAGCCACAAGTGAGGAGGTTGGAATGCACATGAATGTGGGAAGGGTCACAGCTGGGACAGCTGATCCGAAATCCCCAAAGGGACATTCTATATCATATGGCATCATGTTCAGCCTGTTATGCTGGGCAAAGAAGAGGGAAAGGGAGGAGTTTTAAAGCGATGGCTCTTGTCTTTCTAGGTAACCACAATGTGTGGCAGAGCCCTGGTCAGAGCCCTTTCCTTGGAATAACTGAACACCTGCTGCCCGTGGCAGGTGATGGATGAATTCCTTGCATAGCTTTGCTTGCATGAACAGGTTGTTAAACTGCCTTTACCTCAGCCCATGAGCTTTGTCAGTTTTACCCTTCTGAATTTTTTCCCATCCCAGTGGGGAAAGATTTTTTCATCCCAAAATCCACATGTGTTAATTACAACCACATTCACAAGCACCTGGAGGTTCTTGCATTAGAGACCTTCACACGCAGTGACTTTAACACTCCTCTCCAGCTGTAGCACTGTGCCTGGATAACCTCTGCCATAGCAGAGTTGAGTGAGGCTGCAGGTGAGGCCCCAGATTACCATCTCATAATTGTCCAGACTGGGCACATTTCTCACAATATTTCCTACATAGCTCAGAGTGCGGGCATGGAGAGCACCCAGTCACAAAAGAGATCTATCCACTGAAATGTTCTTATGTGCCGGTGACCGTGGCTTTATCTGTCTCAACAATCAACACAAACACAGTGATTTCTGTCTCAGTTTAAAGAAAATTCTTCATTTGAAGGGTGAGAACAGAATGACATTAATCTTGTAGCTTTATGTAAACAACAACACAGTTCTTGTGCCCTTGATACTCAGGAATCTGTGGTTCCTGCAATGGAGTAGGGATAATGCCACTGCTTACACTCTGCCAAAAGCATTTAGTGTCTCTCTTTCATTCCCATCTGGGACTTACACTCCTGATCTTCTTGGGTTCCTGAGTTTCTAAACACATCATCATCTTCTCCTATCTGAATGTCAGGCAATTAAGCTGTTGCTTATCCTTATTCAAAAATTATTAATTAAAAAAAAAACCCAAAAAACAGTGCTTGAATAAGTAGTCATACTCCTTTACCACCTATCTGTGGAATTTAGGCAGAAGGGGAAAACTGGTTAATGTGAGTTGAGTCAGAGATGAAGGAGAACATATGTACACATATCTCAGCATGGCAGAAGAAAAACAGAGTTGTCAGTAAGACCTACCTGGAGTCAAAACCTGAGTCTTTTGTCCTTTGAGCAATTTCTGAACCCGAAGTAGCTGCAAGGAGTTCTCTCTCTTATCAAAGATGTCTTGGACCCAGTGAGATACTTCACAAACAGATTTCACAGTCTCTGAAATTATGGCAGCATATTCTGAAGTTATCACAAATGAATACATATTTCACCTTATACATCTTGCTCAGAAAAGACAGCATGAAATTAAGAAGAAAAGTTTTAAACCAAGTACCAACAACACCTTTATTCAGAAATTTCTGTGAGAGATTGGCCTAGATCACCTCCAGAGTCCTCTTTCCAGCTAACAATTCTACAGTTCTAGAAAACATCTGCCAATGAAATATCAGAGAGAGAGGAATAATTTCCGGGATTTGGAAGCAAAAACTGAAAAATGCCCTACAAGTGGTGTTAACTGCTTGTAAAAACCGCAGAATCATTTAGATTGGAAAAGACCACTGATATCACTGAGTTAACCTAGGATTGAACACCACCTTGTCAAGCAGACCATGGCATTGAGTGTCATTTCTTGAACATTTTCAGGGATGGTGACTCTACTACTTCCCTGGGCAGTCCATTCCAGTGTTTAACAACATTTTCCATTAAGAAATGCCTCCCAATGTCCATTCTGAACTTCCCCTAGCACACCTTGAAGCTATTTCCTCTCATCCTGCTGCTTGTTACCTGTGAGAAGAGGCCAAACCCCAGCTAGCCACAACCTCCTTCCAGGTACTTGTAGAGAGTGATCAGGTCTCCCCTTTTCTCCAGACTAAACGCTTCCATCTCCCTCAGCCACATTTCACAGGACTTGTTCTCCAGACCCCTCTCCAGCTCCACTGCCCTTCTCTGGACTCGCTGCAGCACCTCAGTGTCTCTCCTGCAGTGAGGGGCTCAAAACTGGACATGGGATTTGAGGTGTGGCCTCACCAGTGCCCAGCACAGAGGGGCAGTCCCTGCCCTGGTCCTGCTGGCCACACCATTGCTGATACATTCAGGATGTCCTTGGCCTTCTTGGCCACCTGGGCACGCCCTGGCTCATGTTCAGCCACTGTTGAGCAGCAGCCCCAGCTCCTTTCCCACTGGGCAGCGTTCCAGCCACGCTGTCCCAGCCTGGGGCACTGCCTGGGGTTGTTGTGACCCAAGGGCAGGGCCCAGCACTGGGCCTGGCTGAACCTCACACAACCGGCCCTGGCCCATGGATCCAGCCTGTGCAGATCCCTCTGCAGAGCCCCCTGCCCTCCAGCAGGTCAGCACTCACACCCAGCTTGGTGCCATCTGCAAACTGGCTGAGGGTGCTCTCAATTCCCTCACCCACATCATCAATACAGATATTAAACAGGACTGATCCTGATACTGAGCCCTGGGGGACATCTCTAGTGACTGGATACAGCATGAAGGAGACGAATTATCCTAGAGGCATGTGACCAAGAGAGTCAGAGAACAGTTTGGGTTGGAAGGGACCTTAAATATCATTTTGTTCTAACCTGCCTCCCATGGGAAGGGACACCTTCAAATACATTACATTGGTCAGGACCTTATCCAGCCTGTCCTTGAACTCTTGCAGGAATGGGGCATCAACAAATATCTTGAGCTACCTGTTCCAGTGCCTCACAAGCAGCAGAGATTAAAAAAAAAAAAACAAACCAAAAACAAGCTGCCATTTCTCCAACCTAAATATTAGGCCATTTTCGCAGGCAGTTACTCTATATTTTTATTCCTAACATGTTCTCAGGGACATCTTGATCAAGGTGGAGAAGGAAAATGATAATCCACTAGAACCCTAGAGAGAGAGGAAGATTTTTTCCCTTTGGAACCAGGCAGTAGGTGGGAGTCAGAATATTCTTAGTAAAGAGTATATCATTGATCAAAGCGCCAGCATTTACTTGCAAGTTTCTGGTACTCAGCAGTGTCTGGGCTGGTGTTCTCCAGCAGATCTCTGAAGAAATGCTTGTACCTGAGGCGGAGAGAGCAGGTTTAATTCACAACAAGATACCAGGAACAGCAGCAGCACCTCCTGTTAGTAACAGCACAGTGAACAACACTCAGCTGGGAGACAGAGCAAGCCTAACCAGGCAGTTTTGGTCACACTTCATTCACATTCATTTTATCATCAAATGTCTCGGCTAAAATAACCCAAGTATTTTGTACATCTGAAAACCTTTGGCTTTTCCTGGGGATCCAACAGGAGCAGACTCACAAATCACCTAAGATCATGAGGCTCTCTCAGAATTCATCCTTTGTTATCGCCTTCAATAAGCAGCAAATTTCTCTTTGAACTGTCTATTTTTAATAGTATATGAATGGTGGTATTCATACCATGTTTCCTGCCCACACAAGAAAATAAAGGCATTTCTATAAGAATTAGGACCCTCCTCTTTCTTTTTTTCCTTTCCAGTCTTTAGTGGAGAGGATAAGATCTCTGCAAATGCTTTCCCCAGTAAAGTCAAACAGAAGGAACTTAACAGATTCACAAACTGGCAGAACTCATATGACCTGGTGCATATGTTAACAGAGTTTTAAAGAAATTTGAACATGATAGAACTGATTAATGAAAAAACTAGACTTTTAATCAAAATACTCACATTTTTCCAAATAGTTGGACAGCAACAAATATACTGCTGTTTTGCAAATTTAAATGAATTATCCAAAGAATTATGATAAAAACCCACCAATCAGCTTAATGTTTACTTCTGTCAAGCTAATTAAAAACATTACATAAAGTTACATGAAAGACTGTGGTATGATCTCTCAAAGTTATTTTCAAAGAAAAGTGGTGCTCAATCACTCACATTTGCTTTAGTGTAGATAAGATCATGGTTGAAAAACAGCTACTGGATCTATAGCAGCAGAATCTGGGCTCCCAGAAAACCACCTTTATTACCCACACACCCTCCCCCAGGAAGGGATGCCCATGGGTGCATGCAACACTCTCCTCAGGCAGTCAGTTTGCCTCTTCAAAGGGGAGATGATCATAGAATATCCTGAGCTGGAAGGCATCCACAGGGATCATACCAAGTCCAATTCATCCCTCTGCATTTTTAAGACAACCCTAAAAATCACACGTGTCCAACTATGTTGTCTAAACATTTCTTGAAGACTGGAAGACTTGGTGCCTCAAGAGGAGATGCAATGATCCTGAGTGGATCTGTTCAGGCTCAGACAAATGTAATAGGCATCATATCTGAGGAAAGCATACAGCCCTGATAACCAGAGAGGAAAGAGAAGCTCTCCTTTATTAATCTCTTATCTCTCCAAAAAGAGCCATTTCCAATAGTCACAATGCTCCAGTCAGCAATCTGCATAAAAAATGAGCAAAATCATTGCTGGCAGAGACCACCACTTCTGCAGCACTTCATTCAGCTTGCTTTCATTCAGAGCCAAACTTCAGTAGCCTACTGAGACAGCAGAAAGCCTCCAATTCTACCCAAGAGCTAGAGGAAGGAGCCAAAGCTGAACACAACTGCCTTCCTGCATCATCTCCCATCCATGTACACTGATTCCAATTTACAGGCACAGCCTTAGTTCTGTTTCATTGCTGTCTCTGTGCTCTGATTTTGAGACACAATAGGCAACTTTCCCTTTCATAGTGGATAGTGATACACTCCTTTTTCCCTTCTTATGCTAATCCCTTGAAGATTCACAATTGCTTACTTACTGGCGCAGCCTCTGCAGGGGCAAAGGAAGCAGATCCTCTAGCACTCTCCCTTGAAACTGAGGTCGAGTCTCCTGGAGTTTCTTAAACCGCCGGAATGACTTATTTTTTCTCATTTGCTCCTGTATGCAGAAAAAAGGACATAGCTTTGAGACTACAGAAAAAACTATGTGCCCTAGTCTGTACCAGAAGTTGGAACACTTCAACTTAAGAGTTTAGGACTCCAGTCCCACAAGCATCAACTTCTTTTTTGGCTGTGGGCAAGCCATTCCCTTTCTCCTGGTAGTTGATTTCAGTGGGTAATGGAAGTGATATCCCCTCCATAAATGAAATTAAAGAAAAAGAGAAGGCTGACCCAGTTAGGAAAACAAGGAGGGCACTTGTGGCTTTTTGCCATGCCTGTCAAGAAAAAGCAATGCACATCTGCATTCCTGTCACCTTAAGACAAGTATCCAAAATGGCTTTTTCTCTTGGAAAATCCAAAGCATGAATACATGCATGCAAAGACAAGAGGAGGGAAACATCCCACTAAATTCTGCATCTGGGAAGAAGCACGGACAAAACTGGGAGTTGAGTGGTATAAATTCCAGATACAATTCTTAGGACTTTGGAATAAAAATATATTCTGCAGAAATTTCTTGCAAACAGGTTGTATTTGAAGACGTAAGTGGCAAGAAAAAAATGATCTTCAACACAGGAAAAAAAAAGTGAAGGAAAAGGAAATCCCACTACTAGGATACAGTTGGTGGTATTGGGAAAGACTAGGAGACCTGACAATTCCTAGAAAGAGATCACTGTATCATAGTGAAAGCCTGGAAACTCTCTAGACTTGCCAGTTAGGAAGGAGTGGGAGTAAATACAGAACACTGTTTGAGAAAGCAGTGCTCACCATATGCACATACATACACAAACACCTGAAAAGGCATCCGAAATTTGAAGCTCTAAGTAGAGAAGTTTTCACCACTTTATTGTGGAAGAAAGCCAGAATTTCATCTAGCCAGAAAAAGTAAGAACACTGATCTCTCCACAAACAGAAGACAAATAGAAGGATGTGACAGTTTCACAGAATGGAAAAAGAGAAAGCATGTGAAGACTAAAGTAAATATTTACCTTCAAGGTTTTATTTGCATGCTCCAAATTCTCAGCATAGTGGCCATAAAGATCCAGACTCTGACAAAAATTTTCCAGTCCTGGTCCCAAATTCCCTTTCTCCAGGTGAAGTGAGAGAACACTGTGCACAAGGAGCAGAGATAGCTTGTGAGAGATACATTACTGATGGCATTTTCACAGCTCCTTCTGATTCCTTCCTTTGCTGTCCTGCCTTTACCATTCTTCACCTCATATCCAGTTTCTATACAAAATTTGTGCTTGGAGGTGAGAGAGCAAGCCACAAAACACCTTGTGGAATGGGCTTACTGAGCTTAAACCACTGCCCAGTAACAGGGTACCCAGTTATGTTATACAGATCAGGAGTTTCCTGGGGACACCTCCAAGTGCCACCAAGGCTAGCAATGCTAGAAGTGAATGCCTGTTTTACAAGGTGTTAGGCTTATTTCCCCAAATCTTACTTTCTCATCAACATAAGAGTCCTCCCAATATAATTAGGAGAATTGCATCCTCTGTCCACTTACTGGCTGGCTGAATATAAGGACTCCAGGGGCCCAAATATAGTTTCCAACACAGCAGGCTTCAGCGTCCCTTTGGCCTTTAAGATTGTCACAAAGTACTAAGGGAAAAAGAAAAATCATTTCAAACAGGTAGCACTCACAAATCATCATAGAATCACTCAATGGTTTGGATTGGAAAGGATCTTTAAGACCTTCTAGTTCCAGCCTGGTCAGAGACATCTTCCAAGCCCCATCCAAACTGGCTGATCACTTGGGATGGGGCATCCACAGCTTGTCTGGGCCATGTGTCACAGTGCCTCACCACCCTCACAGTAAATAACTTCTCTCTAACATCTAATCTAAACCTACTGTCTTCCAGTTTAAAACCATTCCTCCTTGTCCTGTCACTACATGTCTGTGTAAAAAGTGACTCTCCCTCTTTTTTATAAGCCCACTTCAAGTACTGGGAGGATGCAAAGTTTATTAATCTCTGAGGTCATTCAAAGGCCACTTGTGGCACACAGCAGAAGCCAGAAGTTGCAGCCTGAACATTCTTTGGCTTGGAAAGATATCAAGTATTGTGACTGTCTACCTAAGATATGCACCATCACATGTAAGCCTTACTTGTAGCTCTGACCATAACTGTAAACACATGGAACAGTACTACAGCACTGAAAAGAGTCTGTTTCAGTATCCTCCAATGCATCTGTTTTTCACCATCTTGTTCATAAATTTTTTTCTTGTCTGTGTCCCTACAATTAATATATCTCAGGCATCTTAGGTGAGCACCCTATTCAATCAAATCTTAAAAGATTTATGTCTGTGTACAGACCAAGGCCAAAAAGCCAAACCCATGAGCTACTGAATATTACAGAGGAGGTAAAAGAAAAACAACAAGAAACCTTTCAGCCACAGCAGGTGTCCCATGCATTAGGGATGGACCAGAGTCTGCTCTTGACCCTTCCCCATGGCAACACGAATAAGTATGTGCTGTCTGAAGGCATCCACATACCAGAAGGGGCAGAAATACTCACTGTGAGAACCAAATCCAGCTGCTCAAGGTATTTGTGTTCTGTTTCCAGCAGTTCCTTGGCTGTCCTGCTGCGCTTCCTCTCCCAGCGAGCCCGCTGGTCTTCCACCGTGTTTGCTCCAACCACAAAGGGCAGGGACGAGGCACTCATGGCAGAGTCAGGGTTGATGCACAGGGAGGTAAAGGATCCTGGAGGGACAAGCAAGATGGGCACACAACAAAAGAATAACCTATGTTGCAGGGGAGGATTCTGAGCTAAAAACACTTTCCTAGGAAATAAGGGCAGTGAGTTGCCAGCAACCATTATTAACAGTTTCCTTCTGCATTCCCTCCTGTGGGCACAGGGGCCCTGCATCAAACAGAGGAACACCATTAGAGAGACCAGGCTGTGAAAGCAATGATGATTCATCTGCAAGCAAAAATCAGTGCACAATCCCACGTGCAAACCACTGCTTCCTGTGCCTTGCCCTCCCCATTCTTTGCTTGAAATTCTTGTTAAACTCTAGCAAGTTTGTGGGTGGAAGAGGTACTGTGGATAGGAGTAGAAAATAACCATAAGATTTGTCTTGTGGGGGAACTGTAACAGGACTTCCCCCATCCCACAAGGAAAGAGAAGAGAGCACTCTTGCTTGTTTTCCCATGGAGGTTACTAAGAAGCAAGTGGTTTGCTTTGTCATTTTCTAACTTTGTGCTCCTGGAGGTGAGAGAGGCCTAGCAACTGCTGGGAATCACACCAGTATCATGGTTTGTTCTGCTCTTCTGCTACAGTATCATGATTTTGTTGCACAGAAAAACATTGTTTGTCACTCAGAGAAAGAGGCATGTTTTAGCAGAACACCAGTTAGACATTGTTCTTTTGATGAAAAGGCAGTGCAGGCAGCTGCACACTTGCCCCTGCATCAAGTCTGCAGTTTCGGGGAAGCCGAGTTGCTTCTGAAAATTTCTGTTTCCCACATGGACAAGATACACTAATACAGAAAGATGTGTCATCACAGAGAAGGAGATTTGTCAAACTCCATCTTCCAGATATATTTCAGATACATAAATGAATGTCTGAAACAAAAGTTTCACATCAAATGAGTACCAGGACTCATTAAATGACTTGCCAAAAGTCCAGAGAGCTGAGGGACATGTGCAGTGTTTTATAGTAGCAGCAGCTTCTCCAGAGCTTGCGCTCATATTCATTTACAGCATATCCACAAGCCTAGCTAAGACCACATCTTGGACAAACAGGGCAGATCTGGCATGGATGGAGAGGCAGCACTGCAGGGAACACCACCTTAAGCTTAGCATTGGTCCAGAAGTGTTCAGGGCCAGGCTGGATGGGGCCCTGAACCACCCTGTCTGTGGAAGGTGTCCCAGGGCTTTGCAGGGCTCTAGGAAGGAGATGGTCTTTAAGGTCCTTTCCAACCCAAACCATTCCATGATTCTATTCAAGTGCAGTTGCAAAGTACTCACCAGTAATGGACTAAAGCACTGCCATTCGCAGAGCGCCTCTAGCCCGCGTAGACTGCAGTGAAGGCTTTCATTTCGCAGACCAAATTTCTCTTAACATATAACAATTAAAACAAACAAGTTATACCAGGTTTGACCATCTACTGCTCACACACAGAAGTTCTAGCACTCCCATTATTGCACAATATATTCTGTGTGAGGTCTGTAGGGCGAGAGCTTCCTGCAGCCTGTGGGTGCACTAGAAAATACTTCACCCACAAGTGACAGAACTGCTCCAGCTTGCTTCTCCCCAGCTCATGTTCAAAAACTACTGAATACCCTCTATTACTGTTAACTACCTTATAGTACACCATTAGCAGCATCCCCTTCACCATTTCTAAATTTTTTGAGTACCCTCCAAAAATCTCCTGTTCTTATTGCACAGCCCCTTTGGTGTCTCAGGAGTGCAAACACGCAGTGGGTGAGCTCCAAGGGACACATGGCTACACATCCCAAACTGTGAGGTTAGAGAAAGGGGAAGGGAAAGGGATAAACTCTGGAGCCCACAGCTAGTCCTCAGCCACCCTGAGGACTAAAGGAGTAAATATTGCAGGAGTTAATACTAGAAGTAAAACACGCAGATAGCCCTCCTTCAATTCGCCTGTGCTGCAGGGCACTAAAAGTGTATTTTGGATCAGTCAAAACCAAGGGTACTATATTTTTTCAGCAGATAAGAAAAGATCCATTAAAAGTCTTGCGGGATTGAACAAAAAGCCTTTCTTGACCAAAACTGAAGCGTTTTATTCATTATCAGAGTTCTGTTTAGTTGGGGGGGTTTTTTGGTTTTTTGTTTTGTTGGGTTTTTTTAATCAAATGAAATATGCTTTAAATAAATAAATGTTTCCAGTAAAAAATAAATTTAAAAAAACCAAACCACATGAGCACACTAAAAAAACATTCACTAAACTTTAACCAAATGTTTTTCTCTGACTGCGACGCGGATTCAGGAAATACTTGGTGGCATCAGGGACTAATTTAGCCAAAAGGATTTTTACGGGTCATGCAGTTGAGCCTTGTGCCCGAAGCGCGACTACCACCAAAGTCAGGCTGGCTACGCAGGGGTTCGGCCTGCTCAGGACCTTTCCGCGGGTGGAGATCGGGGCGGGACGGGACGGAACACCAACAGCGGGTTTAGGTTTAGGTTAGGGCAGGGCAGGGCAGGGCAGGGTGGCGATGGTGCCGCTGGGGCAGCGTGGCCCCCCGCCCGGCGCGGCCGGGGACCTGGCGGCGCTGGCCGAGTTGGACGAGGCGGCGCTGCTGGCGGGGCTGCGGGAGCGCTTCCTGCAGCAGCGCATCTACGTGAGTGCCGGGGGCCGGGGCGGGGGGCGGCGGCGGGCGCTCGGCTGACCGGCTGTCCCGTCCCCACAGACCGACATCGGAGACATCCTCGTCGCCATGAACCCCTTCCAGCCGCTGCCGCTCTACGGGAGAGAGGTGAGCGCCGCGCCCCCGCCGCGCCCCGCCGCCCCCCGGCCGCTCACCCCTCTCCGCCGCCGCTTCCCCGCAGGTCTCCGAGCGCTACGGGCGCCTCCAGAACGACTCGCTGCCGCCCCACATCTTCGCCGTGGCCAGCCGCGCCTACCACGCCATGCTGGGCCGCGGCGGCGGCGGACCCCGCAACCAGTGCATCCTCATCAGGTGAGCGGCGGCCGGGGGTCCCGGGGCCGGCGGGGGACGGGGGCGGCCCCCGAGCTCTCGCTGGGATCTCCCTGCCCGAGGTTCGGGTGAAGCTCTTCTCCGGTTCCGTTGGTGAGTCAAAATCGGTCTGCGCTGGCAACACATCCTTCATCCCGACCGCTTTCGAGACGGATGAGCGGGCATGTCGTGAGAACGTGTGGGCAGACAAAACTGGCTTTCCTGGAGCAGATCGGCCAGCAATTTTTATAACAGTAAAGATGCCAGGTTCACTTCTGGTGGGGAGCAGGCCACTGGAATCCAGCTCTGGGAAAAGCCATTGAGTGCTCAGTTCTGGCAGCACAACTTCTGTGGTAAAAGCTGCAGTAAAAGTTGGAAGGATGATAATGGAATGAGCCAGTTTTCACAAAGTGGAGCTTCCCAAGTGTAACCGAAGAGCAGGAAGTATTAAAACATGCTTTTCTGCTCTAAGACCTTTGAGAATCAGGTCAGGGAGGATCTTAAAGTCATGTGCAGTTCTGTGCTCTGAAGTCGGGGAAAAGTGATTCTTTTAACCAGAAAGAATCTACCAGAGCCTACCAGTATCACAAACGTTTTACTCCATTTTGTCACTCTTGTTCTGCTGGAACTCTGCAGCACAGCAGGTACCATCATTTAGCAGAGAAAGCCTTAAACAACACCAACACCAGAGAAAGCATTGAACAGCAAGGAGAAAGTCTTGAGACATTAACTGCCTCTTCTCTACAGCTGGGTGTTGTAGAGAGCAGTTTAAATGTCATTTCAGTTAAAATGCTACTTGCCAACTTGTTTGTTTTAATGCTCCTTTGTATTTGCCTTCTGATAATTTTATCAGTACTTTTGGTCTACGTGGTGTGCAAGTCAACTGCTGAATCACTGCTGAGTGTTTTGGTGGGCCTGGGAGCTGACTTTGAGGGGCACTTGAGCCGCACTCGTTTCTGTAGCCTTCATGCCATTGGTGCCTGTGCTTTACCTGAAGTGCTCTCGGGAAGTGGTGGCCGTGGGGTCAGCAGGTACAAGAGGCACTGATGGTGAGGCTTTGGGGGATAGAGAACGGTCATTTCATTTGTCTTGGGAGGTGGAAGTCAAGAAAGAGTAACCTGTGACAATTGTGAAGTGGTCAGTGGTCTGGTTGTTTTCTGCCAGCAGTTCAGATATGAGTCTCATATACTCCTGTCCTTTTACCTGGTCTGTGTGTTACTGTCACAGGAAGTTTGTGGTTTTCCTCCCTATGTGTGGTGAAACACTAATTAACAAGTTTTCCTACGTGAGCACAGTTGGTGTGAACAGGGAAGATGAGGTCACTCCTGTTAGACCACAGTTCACCACAACACCACAGAAACACAGCAGGATCTGCTGTCCCTTTGGTGTCTCCAACTAAGTCTGGGAGGTCTGGATCACATTCTTCAGTGGTGATGTTCGGTGAAGCAGCTGCTGCCAGATCACAAGTGATCATTGCTACCAAATTGTCCTCAGCCACAAATTCTACTGGCTCCTCTTTCCTTCCCAGTCCCAAAGGACATTAGTCATAGCCTGCATGTGCTGCAGTGCAGTTCTTGGGTCACCTGAAGATGACGTAGCATTTCTTCAGAGCATGGGGCAGTTACACACCTGCTGTGCTTGCAGGGCCTTGTGAAGGTGTTGTGCTTTTTGGAGGGTCTGAGGTCAAGCTTGAACCATGGAAGTGCTGTTGGATATTTTTTTTTCTGGTAGAGGAGGGAAGTTACTGAAAAATAAAAAGAAATCTGACATACTGAGCAGGGACACTGGATGACATGTTCTCAACTGGCAAAATGGTCCTACTTTGTTTGTATGTATTTGGATAGTGCTGGTCTGACCTGTGCTTGAGATCAGGGACCTGTATTTGAGGTTTTTAGCCACCTGTGATACATACTTGATACCAAGCTCAGAGCCACTGGCAGGTACAAAGCAGTAAAGCCACACCACATGCTCAAAGGTCGGCTCAAAGGAAATGGGGACCTGCCCTCAAGTATGCCTCCAGCATTTCCTGCATTTATTTTTTTTCCATGCACATGCTGAGGTTCTCAGCTGGTGTGATGTTGTCAGTTAAGGACATGTTGTCTAGCTGACTGTACATTCCCTCTCCCAGGACAGGGGAAACTGCACTTTCCAAGTGCTGCTTGTTTGACTTGGAGGCGGAGGTGCCGTGGATGTGTGACAGAACAGTGACGTGCACTGCTGGCACTGTGGGAGTGTGGGCAGCTCTGCACCTGCATTCCCAGCTGTCTGGCACATGGATGTGTGAAACACTTGAGATCTGAGACTGCCACAGCATCTCATGATCAGTATCCAGGTGTGGATGTGGTGTAGATAGGACAAATCTCTCTGGAGAAAGAGGAAGCTGTTGGCTCCAGCATGTGCAAGGGAGTTGATGTACCAGATGGCTTTTGAGCAGAGCAAATGGTCTGTCTGATACATCCCATGATGTGACAGCGTCACGGGGTATATCTGTACTCCCTTGCAGAGGGGGAAGAGTTCCCTGATGAAAAACCTCATGGTTCATGTGTAAAGCTGTAGCGTGAGTTTTTACTCACACAAGTGATTTGGCTGAAAAAATTGTGAAACTCCTGCAGAGCACTCTCAAGTGATGGAGCACTTGAGCCATAAGGGGCAGAACAACTATACTTTAGGTTGATGGAATTTATTTTGCTTTTTCTTGGCAGTGGAGAGAGTGGTGCTGGAAAAACAGAGAGTACAAAGTTGTTGTTGCAGCACATAATGAACCTATGCAAAGGCAACTCACAGCTGGAGCAGCAGATACTTCAGGTAGGTCATTGCAGGATGGTGCTTGAAGGAGCAAAAGCAGCTCTGCTGCAAGACATCTTGCATTAGGCTTAGGAAGCCTACTGGTGAATCACCACTGGAAATCAGGGGGCCACACATAAGAAAATAGTGGACAAGAATGGTGAGATAGCTGGCCACAAATTAGAAGGATTAGTAGGTCAGTAATTCTGTTTGGTGGAAATTATTCTTAAATTAGAGAAAACCACTGCAATCATTTATCATGTCCTCTTTTACAAGAGATTGGTGGCATTTTTCTCGATAATTTCCTGTTTGAGGTAGAACAAGGTGGAACATGCCATTTCCATTAGAAAAATGAGACCTTGATTTAATGGTACAGAGGGATGAAGAATTCACACACCGTTTAGTAACCCATCCTTGGCTATTTATACTGTCAGGCAAATACCTACTAGCTGGCTAACTGCCATCCTTACTCTTTTCATATATCTTTGCCAGCTCATTTTGAAACTTATTTGACTCTCTGGTCTGAAATATTTCCACTTGAATTTCTCCCCAGGGAGTTGTGAGGTTTTTTTAAACAAATTATGCTTTAAATCTTCTGTGTGATAGATTAACAACAGTGAGTTCTTGGACTGCTTCATTTTAAAGTCTGTCTTTTCAGATTTCCTGTAGAAACATAAAGGTCTTTCTCTGTGTGGTAGGTTAACTTCAACCATTTAAAGTCTGTCTTTTCAGATTTCCTGTAGAAACATAAAGGTCTTTCTCTGTGTGGTAAGTTAACTTCAACCAGTGCCCACCAAGCCATTCTGTCACTCCCCCTCCTTAAGAAAGTCTGTCTTTTCATATTTCCTGTAGAAACATAAAGGTCTTTCTCTGTGTGGTAGGTTAACTTCAACCAGTGCCCACCAAGCCACTCTGTCACTCCCCCTCCTTAACTGGACAGGAGTAGAAAAACATAACAAAAACTCATCAGTTGAGATAAGGACTGTCAGATCACCCAACAACTACCATCACAGACAAAACAGGCTCATCTTAGGGAAAATTAATTTAATTTCTTTCCAGCTAATGTCAGAGTAGGATGATGAGAAATGAGAACAAATCTTGAATCTTCCCCCAACTTGTCCCTTCTCCCTAGGCTCACTTGACTCCCACTTCCTCTACCTTCTTCCCTCCAGCAGCACAGGCATCTAGGGGATGGGTGTTGAGGTCAGTTCATCACAGTTTATCTGTGCTACTGTTTTCTTCCTCATGCTCTTCACCTCCTCCAGCATGGGGTCCCTCCCACAGTAGACAGTTCTTCAGGAACAGACTGTTCCAGCGTGGGTGTCTTGACGTGATGCACTCCTTCAGAAGCAGGCTGCTCTCTCCCTGGGCTACTTCTTTTGACCAGACTGCTCTATCCTGTGTCCCCTCTATGGGGCACAGTCCTTCAGGAACAGGGTGCTTCAGTGTGGGCCCCCACAGGGTCACAGGTCCTGTCAGCAAACCTGCTCCAGCACGGGCTCCTCTCCACAGGCCACAGCTCCTGCCAGGGAAGCTGCTCCAGTGTGGGCTGCTCTGCTCTCTCCACAGGCCACAGCTCTCTCCACTGCTCCAGCACAGGTTTCCATGGGCTCACAGCCTCCTTCAGGCACACCCACCTGCTCTGGTGTGGGCTCCTCCAGGGGCTGCAGGTGGATCTCTGCTCCCCCTGGGCCTCCAGGGGCTGCAGGGGCACAGCTGCCTCCCCAAGGGCTGCAGCCCAGGCTGCCGGGGAATCTCTGCTCTGGCTCCTGGAGCAGCTCCTGCCCCTCCTCCTTCACTGACCCCATGTCTGCAGAGCTGTTCCTCTCAGACATTCTCACTCCTCTCTCCCTTCTGTGGGTGTGCAGCAGTTTTTATCCTAGAGGCACTGCCACTGTCAGTGGTGGGCTCAGCCTTGGCCAGGCAAGTCTGTATGGCTCTGTTGGCTGGAATTGGCTCTGTTGGACATGGGGAAAGTGTCTGGCATCTCCTCACAGAAACCAGCTTTAGCTCCTCCTGCAATATATTGACACATAAACCCAATGGCCTGTGCAGTGCTTTGGGCCCAGGAATGGTGTGTTAATTCAGTGTGGTGTCATCCATGGTGGATCCAAGGTGCCTGCCTGTGCTGGGTTGTGGGAATGTGGCCTTGATACACCTGCTGTCTCTGCTTAGAGCTGGCTTGGGC